TATATATATATATATATACACATACATACATACATACATACATTTTCTGACATGTTCCTTTTTATCACTAATTTGCACCTTTACCATCTAGGTAAATAATTCATCCATGTCTATCCTAACAAAAAGCATAACAGAGAATGCAAATACATAACAAATAAAACATTTGGGAAATACAACATTTTCAAATGTTTTCCAAATGATGCATATTCAGAGAACGCTTCCAAATCAACCTAGAAACAAATATTATAATTAAAGAACGAAAAGCCATTTTCAAACAGAAAATGTCGTATTTAACCGCGAAAGGGATATCAAGGGTCTTAAAAACACCGCACAAATGAACCAATAAGATGTTGGGACACGGCCAGGTCTCCAATAACCGGTCAAACTCGTACCAATACATCACTTGCCGCCTGAACCAAAACACGAAAATGATCAAGGCTCAAGTTTTCAGTAAAAATCCTATTACCAGCCCTCTTCCAGGCCCAGTATACGAATGAGTGTCCCACAATCCACACAACCTTGAAAGTAAAACCTAAAATAAAACAATCACGGGTTACAATGAATATACGTTCTATAACAATTCGATGCCCAACCACCCAAAGCTTTAATAGAACCTTCACTAAAACCCAGCTTGAACGCTTCAGTAGCAGCACCTATCCTGAAAGGATGTGATGTGAGCATCAGTAAGATCCAAAAAAGCCAAACATTTACAAAGAACCACGTTAAACTGATAAATCTGATTAACTGAATATGCAAAAAAGAATATTTCATAACTAACATTCGATCAACAAACAACAAAACTAACTCCTTGGGAATCATAACTGAACAATCAGGAACAGAAGAAACAAAATGTAACCATGTGTCCCATGTAATTAGCCCATGTAGACAGAGCCACAGAACTCTTGATGGAATAAATAACGGGGGTAAACTATGTCCCACAAATGATGAGGGCAGGTGATTCCCAAAATGGACGTGTCCGGAGCTAATTCCCGAAAACCTGCAAAACTGAAAACGAGATAAAGCGTCAGCCAACACATTATCCTTACCAGGTAAATATTTTACTTCAATCCATAAATTAAGATGTTAACAATTCAAAATCAAATAGCTAAGGAGTTTAATAACTAGAGGGGACTTAGAAGACAAACAATTTATACCGAAAACAACCCCCATGTTATCTGTTTGAAAGAGAATGCATTTATTTTGAAGAAATTCACCCCAAATCTTAACAGCAGCAACAATAGGAAACAATTCCAATAAAACAATATTACCAGTAAGACCCCTGTTAACCTAATTTGGATGCCAAGGGCCACAAGTCCAACTACCGTTCCAGTATGCAGCGTAACCAAAAGAACCTGCAGCATTGGTGAAAAAAGAAAACGCATTTGCCGCCACAAACTCATCCTGCCATATAGCACATCCATTAAAAGTTTTGCTAAAGGAAATCGCCCTTAAGCGAGGAAGTAAGACGGACATCAGCAGTTGGAGAAGACAAACCAGAAAAAGCTAAATAAAAACAACTCGAAAAAATTCTGCCGATAGGCATCACACACGTTGCAAAATTAAACAAACACAAAAAAGATTGAATTTCTCTAAGAGTAGATTTCTTCTTAACTAAAAGCATGCATTTGATATTTTTAAGTTTGTCAACTTTTGGATCCGGTAAGCTATACTCCATGGCAACAGTATCTATCCTTATCCCCAAGAATTCCAAGCAGGTAGAAGGAAAAACAGATTTCTCAGCAGCTAATGGAATGCCAAACTCAACACAAACAGAATTAAAAACCGAAAACAAACGGTGACAATCATCCAAAGAATCAGAACCAAGAAACAAAAAATCATCTAAATAATGGTCAATATTAACCCCTTCGTGACGGGACTAAAAAGGGTACAAAAAATTAGGAAAATAAAACGTTTATATATAAATATATTTGTATACTATAATTATTATTAAAAAAATTCTAAAAATAATAATAATAATCAAAACTTGCTGCTGTGGAAGAATCACACAGCAAAAATGTAAAAAGTGTGTCAGTCATTTAGGAACAGAAACTAAAAACTAGCTCAGTCATGAAGGGGTTAATAGAACCCACCTTAGAAGAAACTACCCACTCAAAAACACTCAAAATAACAACAGGAACAACCCATTGGGAAAAACACTCAAAATAACAACAGGAACAACCCATTGGGAAGCATCTATCAAAAAAAATAAAAGTCATCAAAGAAAAAACCTAAAGAGTTAAATGCAGAGGAATGAATGGGCAGCAACCGAAAGGCAGATTTAAGTCCGCTTTGTCTAAAAGTGCACCCTTACCCAAAATTTGGAGCTTTGACAATGCATCATCAAAAGAAGCATAGGAGACAGAGACAGAATCAGAGTTAATATAATAATTTAATGAACTACCTTTAGGGAAAGAAAGATGGTGGATCAAACAGAAAGAATTAACCTACTTTTTGGGGACAACGCCCAGTGGAGAAATGCAAAAATCAGCATAAGGAGGGGACAAGAAAGGACCGAATACCCGGCCTTCAGAATGTTCCACCCAAATTCTGTTGTAAACCACACTCTCCATACCATCAAAAGAACGTAGGTTACCAACAATAGTACAACCAGAACCACTAAAAGACTGCAAATGAAAACCAAACTTAAAGCCGTCAATTAATAAGTCTGCCATCATGCGTTTTGGGTAAAGCATGAGCCACGGTCGCATTTTTACTAGCTTCACAGGACTGCAAGCTTTGAAGAAAAAGCTTGCGACAAGGCTGCTTACTACCTAATGTCTTAAAACACTTAGCAACAGGGTGTTGGCCAGTGCAAAAAGCACATTCGTGTTTATATCTGCACGAACCACCCCATTTACAAACTGCATTGTTAAAGGCAAAACAAAGGCCCTTCCTATGGGAGCTCGTGCAAGGAGATGGCAAAGGTTGTTTAAAACTTGAAAACGTTTCCTGTTTTGGGGGTAAAAGGAGATTCAGGCACCCCAAAGTAAAGAAGGATAAACAGAAAGCCACATGTTGAAACAATCCTGGAGCTTTATCCGGGAATGTTTGTACTAAAATACTGGAATAAATACAAAAACCTTCCAACCAATTTGGGAATGATTTAGCAATATGTTTACGCTTGTTCCTCCTTTTTGTTCTTAAAATATTCCTTAGATAAGGGCAATAAAGTGAAAAGGTCAATATAATCATTGTTCCAAATCTTTTCTTTTACTGAGCTACATAAGTGATAACCTAAAGGAGAAAGCTCACAAATCATTGCCTCTTTTGGTAAGCAAGA